GGCAAATTCTCCACTGGTTGGTGTCATGCCTGGCACATAGGAAGATGGTTGTGGTTTTGCGGTCAGTATTCTCAACTCCAGGACAACTCTGCAGGAGTTTCCCAGGGTAGTGTCCTAGACCAAACCATCTTCAACTGCTTCATCAATGATCCTCCCTCCATTGGAAGTGGGGATGTTCACCGATGATTGTACAATGTTCAGCACCATTCATAACTCCTCAAATACTGAAGCAGTCCATGTTCAAATTCAACAAGATCTGGACAATATCTGGGCTTGGGCTAACAAGTGGTAAGTAACATTCATGTCACACAAACATCAGGCTGTGGCCATCACCAATAAAAGGCAATCTAACTACTGCTCCTTGACATTCAATGGTATTACCATCACTGAATGCCCCACTATTAACATGCTTAGAGTTACCACAGACCACAAACTCAACTGGACTCACCATATAAACACAGTGGCTACCAAGAACAGGTCAGAGGCTATGAATACTGTGATGAGTAACTCATCTCCTAACTCCCCAAGGCTGTCCACCATTTACAAGGCACAAGTCAGGAGTGTGATGGAACGCTCCCCACTTGCCTGGATGGGTGCGGCTCCAACAACACTCAAGAAACTTCCAGGACATCCAGGACAAAGCAGCCGACTTGATTAGCAACATCCACAAACACCCACTCCTTCCACCACAATGCTGGTGTGTACTATCTGCAAAATGCACTGCAGAAATTTGCCATAGATCCTCAGACAGCACCTTCTAAACCCATGACCACTTCCATCTAGAAGGACAAGGCCAGCAGATACATGAGAACACCCCCACCTTCAAGTTCCCCTACAAGCCACTCACCACTCTGAGTTGGAAATATGTCACCATTCCTTCACTGTCACTGGGTCATAATTCTAGAATTCCTTCACTAATGGCACTGTGGATCAACCTACAGCACATGGACTGTAGCAGTTGAAGAAGGTAGCTCACCACCACCTGATCAAGAAGCAACTCGGGACAGGCAATAAATGCTGGCCAGCCAGGATGCTGACATCCAACAAATGAATATAAAAAAAAAATTGTGACCAAGTGAACTATACATTCAGGTGAAGAATAGAGCAGAGGATAGATTCTTAGAAGCAACTAGTGAAGTTTTTGTTGGAGATATTTTGTATCCTATTAATTGGTGTGATTGGACCTATTTTATATGGACCTGAAAGAGTTAAACCTTAACTGAGTGCCGTAAGCAGCACCTATTGTGACGACGGCATAGGAACTTTTAATCAGAGTAAAGAAGGAACTTGTCAGAGACACGCTCTGTACTCCAAACAGTCTCTGTTGTAGTGTAGGCCATATTCATGCCATCTGTAAATAGTTTTAATAATGTAATAAACTTAATATGATTATTAGCAAGAATTTTCCAGTTAAATCAAAAAGATAGATATTCTAATCCACATGAGATGACTTTTGGTTTGAAGGAATCCAGATACAAAACAGAAACCATCTGAAACCAGTCCTATGCAGTTGGACAACAAGAGAGGTGCTGAAGGATTTGGAGTCCAATGAATGTTGCAGAAAAGTTGATGATGAGAATGAGGAGTAATGCTCCATGTTAAAATCATTGAGAATTTCAATTGGGGCTTTATGGTAGTTTTGAGATCTTGTGAAGCTAGGCTGCAGATGTCTGAAAAGGATGGTTTTGAAGATATAAATGTCGAGCTGGAAGGTGACAATACATTAAATGTAGTAAGAACAAAAATCTAAAATATGCTAAGTACCAATTAGCCAAAATAGATTGAGACAGACAAGTAATGACTAGGTTAATTCAAAGAATGAATACAAAATTTACAGCAGATTTACAAAAACCCACAGAAAAAGTGAGCCAATCAAAGCTAAAATGAGTAATTAAATATAGTATCAGTCCAAAGGAAGAAGCCAAAAAACAGTAGAAAGCATGAGGATTGGGAAATGTTTAGAATACAGCAAAAGATGTAATGTTTGTGGCAGTCATTGCATGGTATTTTATAGACCACGTTCATTCTGCGTGTTGTGGGAATGGGGTCTTTAATCCTTGTGAGTGTTTGTCATAGAGTGGCTGTGGGCTTGTGTGCTGACATGATTCCTAGTGGTCTTAGGAGTCTTGTTGTCAGTTCCGATACGTTCTTGATATAGGGCAGTGTGGCCAGTGTGCTCATCTGCAGATACCTACTAAATAGACAGCAACAGGGGACACTGTATGCCCTAACACACTATCCTAACATCAGACAGACAGGAAGGACACTAGACATTGGAATACATGAACATCAGCTAGCAGCAAAATGGCACAACGAACTCTCCTTGTACTTCATTGTACTTTCAGACAATGAAGGACATCAGTTTAACTGGGACAAGGTAACCACAGTAGCCCAAGCCAAACATAGATCTGCATGGGAATTCCTAGAGGCATGGTTCTCCACCTGTAATGCAATCAACATACATATAGAATTGGACCCCATATACAAACCCATACAAATTAAAACTGGAATTGACACTACTCACCATAACAGACCAGACAGTATAAATTCCAAGCGGAATAGAATAACACCACTTCATCGGAAGCCTTACTGATGATGTCACCTAGCATGGTGATGTAACGTTTGAATGAAAACAAGCCAGCTCGGTTAGCAAGTCAACGACCTCGCTATGTTATAGCTTCACATCTGCAATGTCTTACACAAAAACCTTGTCTAAGGACAATTGACAGAATGAAACAATGAACATCAAGGAAAGGCTGTAAAGAGTAGTACATCTGTACTACTCTTTGGATGATTACATGGATAGAAGGATATGGGTCAAGTGCAGGAGAATGGGGTTAGCGTGGATGGACATTTTGGTTGGCATGGACCATTTTGGGCCAAAGGGCCAGCCTCTGTGCTGTAGGACTCTATGACTCTATGATCCAGTCCCATTTGCCACAGTTTGGCCCATATCCCTCTGAACTTTTCCTATTCATGTACTCATGTCTTTTAAATGTTGTAATTGTACCTGCCTCCACTACCTATTCTGGCAGCTCATTCCAAACTTGTACCACCTTCTGCGTGCAAAAATTGCCCATATGGTCCCGTTTAAATCTTGCCCCTCTCACCTTAAACCTATGCTCTCTAGTTTTAGACTCCCTTACCCTGGGAAAAAAAAACGTCCCTGGCTATTCACCCTATCCATGTCCTTCATGATTTTATAAACCTCTATAACGTCACCCCTCAGCCTCTGATGCTGCAAGAAAAAAAATCCCCAGCTTATTCAGGCTCTCCCTATAGCTCAAACCCCCCAATCCCAGCAATATCCATGTAAAACTCTTCTAAACCCTTTCAGGTTTAACAACATCTTTCCTATAGCAGGGACACCAGAATTGAACACAATATTCTACAAGTGGCCTGTACAGCTGCAAAAATGACATCCCAACGCCAATACCCAATGCAGTGACTAATGAAGGCAATCTCCACTACCCTGTCAACCTGCAACTCCACTTTCAACAAACTATGCACCTGTACCTCTAGTCTCTTTGTTTGGCAACACTCCCCAAGGCCCTACAATTAACTGTATAAGTCCTGTCCTGGTTTGCCTTACGAAATGCAAATTCTCACATTTACCTAAATTAAACTCCATCTGCCACTGCTCAGTCCATTGGCCCATCTGATCAAGGTTCTGTTGTACTCTGAGATAACATTCTTAACTATCCATTACACCATCAATTTTGCTGTCATCTGCAAAGTTGCTAAACGTATCTCCTATACTCACAACCAAATAATTTATACAGTGACAAAAGGCAGTGTACCCAGCACCAATCCTTACGCACACTGCTGGTCACAGGTTTCCAGTCTGAAACACAACCCTCTACCACGACCTACAGTCTCCTATCTTCCAGCCAATTTTGCATCCAATTGGCTAGCTTCCCCGGATTACATCTGCAAATCATTTACGTTTTACCATATTTTCATTTTCCTGTTATTTAAAAAAGATAATACAGTATGTACATGTGTAAAACTCAAACATTTGAGACCAATTTCTTAGGCAAAACAAAAGGGGAATGCTTTCAACTCAAACACACCCAACCAGCTCATCTAACATAGCTCTGAAAATAGTCCATAAGGTAATGCAGTAAGGCGACTCTTGTCAGCCAATTATTCTGTCTCTCTCACTTTATGTACTTTTATTAAGTAGCCTGCCCAACATCACCACCTCACATCCTGGAGAGGAAGCAGCATGTTGCCTGGAGTTTCAACGCTGCTCAGAAGCCAACAGGACAAGAGAGAGAAGTGCGGCAACACTGGAAAACATCACACTAACAGCTCCAACTCTCACTCCTAGGCCTTGGTGCAGGAGGTTTGCACTGAGTCGACATTGGCAAGGGCCGAACTGGCAAGGCATCAAATGCTCCCTCCCTCCTCAGGAAAAATGAGGTGCTAAGTGGTGACACAGATCCAGGCTGAACTTAATTAAAAACCATCAGAGAAGTTCTTCTCTCCATTAACCTCAGTATTTATTGCTTTTTACTGCTCACCGATCTGCCACTCCCTACAAGCATCAAGTTGGATCCACATTGATCCTGCATTAATTAACAAGTAGAAGCTTGAGGAAATGAAATAAATGTAACTTTTTTCAAAAACGCATTGGATAATGAATTGAGGTTTTTAATGTGATTGTTCAGATTTCTTTCTCTGAAACTTTTGGGCTTTGGCCTTTGATAAACTAGCACTGACATTTTCATACAGTATATGAAAAACTAGTTTTTTCAGCAAAACTCTTGCGGTCGATTTTATATGAGCTCAATTTTATATGAATACGTACAATAATTTTATTTTCATTTAGCTTGAAAAATATAACACTGTTTAGAACAAATGATACAGTGACAGAAATTACATATTCTTTTTGATGTGTATCTGCAATGCAGAATTCCCGTCCACAGGTGTATCTCTATAGTATTCTTGCAGAGTGTATAGAATGAGTTAACAAGCCAAACTGAATAATCACTCACAGTGTGTTCAGGTTCTTCTGCCTCTTAAAGGCTCCTGGTGGAATTTCTCTGATCCTGTTAAACCTCAGGTCCCTGCAAGATAATCAGTATAATTCAAACATCAATCGTTGAAAGTGCTGTTTTACTGGTAATAATTAAGTCAACTTATTTTAATTTGCTAGTTATAGCTGTATCCCAAATGGTGAGTTTTCTCTTCTACGAATTTTCCATCATACCTGGTTCTGGATATTCTGACAGAGAATACTGGGGTGGCATAGTGGCTCAGTGGTTAGCACTGTTGCCTCACAGCACCAGCGACTTGGGTTCAATTCTACCCTTGGGTAACTGCCTGTGTGGAGTTTGCACATCCTCCCCGTGTCTACGTGGGTTTCCTCTGGGTGCTCCGGTTTCCTCCCACAATATAAAGATGTGCTGGTTAGGTTGATTGGCCATGCTAAATTGCCCATTGTATCATGGGATGCATAGGTTAGGTGGATTAGCCATGGGAAATGCATAGTTACAGGGATAGGGTAGGGATGTGTGTCTGGGGGGTGTGGGGGTGGGATGCTCTTCGAAGGATTGGTGTGGACTCAATGGGTCAAATGGCCTGCTTCCACATTGTAGGGATTCTTTAGGGTAGCGCATGAAGGTCCAGTCAGTCAAGATGGTGTTCTGAGATCTCCTGTATTTTCTTTCCCATTTTACATCATGTTTATGGCAACAAAAATTAACACCAATGTCACTGATGATTTGGGGCTACAAGATGAATAAAATCAAAAAGCCATGTATATCCTGTATTAAGCACTTTCTACAGTGTTTCAATTACTGTATTTTGTAATCATTAGCTGCTTTTCAAAAGGATTAACCAGGGGCATTTGACACATTCCCTTCAGGAGATGGCCTGTCTCCACCCAAATAGTCACGGTCCACAATGACCCAGGCAGAATGTGGTGGTGTAGTGGTAATGTCAACAGACGTGAGAGCCAAACAACTATGTTCAAATCCCACAAAGGCGGTTGGTGGAATTTAGATTAATAAAACAGTGGAATACAACATTAGACTCAGTAGAAATGATCATTGGTTGTTGTAAAACAAAAATCTAGTTTACTAATGCCTTTTACGGGAGAAAATCTGCAATCCTTAAGTTTAACTCCAGAACAGAGTAATGTGGTTTACTTTTAACTGCCCTCTGAAAAGGCCTAGCAAAGTACACAGAAATGGATGAGCAACAAAATGGTGCTCACGTCCCATAAAATCACAAACGTAAGCCTTAGAACTATGAATGCCTGCTATCCCCAGATAAATTAAAGGATCTCCCCGAATTCCAGTAGACTTGTGAAGGGTCAACAAACATCCTTGTGTTTATGGAGCTATAGACCCATTGTGGTTTTTTTGTTGCTAAAGTACAGATATGTCTCCTTTCAGGGATATACCTATCTTAGTTAAAAAGTTGGACGCATACCGGGTGTGGTATTATACGCAATACCAAAATCTGCAATACATATTATGTGGCACCTGGAGTCTAAATTTCATCAAATTTCTTTAAATTTATGTTCTAGCATGCATTGAAAGGTATTACAGAAATTAGTGAGCCCTGCAGGATTGGAATGATTAAGATGAATATAAAATCCAGCAGATCATACTAGCCTTGCTCCTAAACTTCCAATGTGAGATCCTGGCAGCCAAATGTGTGTACTGCGAATGTTCATAAGACATACTTTATGGCATCACATGTAAATTCAGATATCAATATTGTGAATGGAAAGCTAACTTATGAATAAAACCACCAAATAAAAAGATTTACAACAAAGAATTCATTCAACAATTGAATTGAATGAGGACTTATAAATATACTTGTAGCCAATTGTTTCAAACATTTTTCATAAGAAGACAAACTCTTGAATGGATTGTTAGAGGAGAAAATAAACATGAAAAAGATTGATTAATGCTAACTCTGTACTTCTTATTAATTCCCACAAATCTAAACCTCACTGAAAAACATGCTAGAGTTTGCAAAGATTCCCCAAAAAGTCCTCCATTTTACTTTGTGCAGAGTGATGAAATTTTACCCAAGAAAGCATCTAATAGTGATCATTGAAACACAATCAATATTTAAATTAATCATACATTATCTTAGCTATTTGATCGTGGAAACTACACTGCTTTGAAATAAGTTCACACCTCAGTTAGATTGGCTTTCAAGGTTGGGAGCATTGTTGTGGGATACAATCCATGGAGTGGAATATATGTTTTCAATAGGCACAGGAATTCCCCTCCAAAGGAGGTCCCAGAAAGTGGTGGCAGTCCCATTTTGAATCAATCAAGTCTGATGCCATCTTATTATTCTCATATGGCAGCAAGATACAGTAGGTGGTGTAGCAGAAATAGGTGCTATTATAGCCCATCCATAATAACCGTGACTAATTTGAAATAGAAAGATCGAGTTCTCCGAGTTGCATATTTTTATGCAATAACATGTATTAAGTAAATAACAAACATATAAAAGGCCTCAATGACAATTCTTTTATTCAATCTTTTTTATACATGATATAAAACTGTGTAATTATGTTCTGTGGATCTTTTCACAGCTGAAATCATATTTTCAATCATTACACGGTTTCCACATTTTTACAGATTGCATGCACAATCTTTTACTGGAAAATGATCCAACAGTTCCTGTGGCAGGAGACTGAACAGCACTCATTGTCTATTAAGCTTGTCTGTGCCTGTTAATGGCAACGATATTTTCTGTTGCAGGTTGCTGGAATGAGTGATGAAAGTGGCACTATGCTCTTTACAGGGCATCTGGGATCTGAGTGAACAGGTGCATTTCTATATCCAAACAGACTGATGTATTGTGAAATTAATAGTGCAAAGACTGAGATGTAAGGGTGAATTATAATGGTGTCTTCAATGTCAAATAAGCTACAGTAGGAGAAATAAAGAGAGAAAAAAAGATTGAATTTAGAGAAAAAGTGACTGAAAGGAAAAATTCTTAAGAATTGAAGAGTTTCATTAGCACTGTTCATGTTGTTAAAATTGTACTCAGACTTGAAGTGACTTTGTGACAACTTCACTTGTACCCACTGTCAGAAGTACAGTAATCTAAACCAATCAAATGCATTCAATTTGTAAGCCTGACAACAACATGCCATCTAACAAATTAGAAGTGTAGTAATGTATCTCTGAAAATATTGGGATTTCTACATTTAACATCCACATCTTCCCTGTTTGAAGTTGCTATTCCATTTGCAATCACAAGTGATAGCAGCCTCACCATATTTTGACAGGAAAATTTGAGGCAATTTATTAACTGACCAGCTTCTGTGACTCTCTCTAAATGGGTACAATTCATAGACCTCAGCATTTAACTTTGCTTCTACACAAAATCTACTCAGTAGAAAATCAGTTTCTTGGTCTCAAAAATCTCAAAAGTTAATGAAACCAGTTCCCAAACAGTTCTCTACCTCAGAAACATCGGAACAGGGCAGAAGCTTTGTTGTTCAAAAATAGCCTTTTTTTCCCTACTGACATTGTGATTAGTTTAATCCATTCACCATGTTATACAATGGCAAATAAACTGCAGCACTGTTAAAGAGTAGGTCAGTTAATGTTGTGAAGTTTCCAATGCAATTTGCACTAAAGATTGTGCTAGGTTGTAACAACTCTTTATTTTTATGACACATACATGATTATAACTTTATTATGAAGTTGTTAAGCATCATAGCGTTGGTTATGGTGATTCTTGATTTTCCAAATGCTTTCTAACAATTTCCTTATAGGATTTGCAAATTCACGCAATGTCTGAGTGTTGCAGTAGAAACTCAGACTTTTGTCATGGTCAAGGATTATATTGCACAACGGGGTTTAAATGGTGTCACCACAGTTCATCAAACTCCAATCCAAGAAATTATTAGGATTGCTTAGGCATCACTCTGGTGTAATGGCAGTAGCAATGGCTCCAAAGAGCGGAAGGCTGCTGACTTCCCTTAGGAAGGCAGTGCTCATTCTCCCAGTGTCCTTGCTGTTGTCTGAAAACCAGCCAGCCCAGACTGCTGCCATCCCTGCTGAGATACTGAAGTCCCTAGGCAGATCTTTCACCTTAGAGCTTTACAAGGTCATTCTCCATAACCATCAGTGGTCACCTCCTCGGAACGTCACATTCTAGAACAGACAAACCCACACAAAGGACAATTACTGTGGGTATACACAATAATAATTCACCAACTATGATCACACAGCAGCTGGCACTTTAGATTCCTGTATAGGTGAACAATGGGAGCATTCTCCATAGCAACATCTCTACGAATCAGAGTCCGCTTGCCAACCAACCAGTACTGTTCTCTCATACATTATAAATGTTGGTTTCTCCATTGAATTTGCATTCTTGCAAAATATCCTGATCAGTGCAAGATGAAAAATTTCAACAAAACATGCTGTTTTTTCAGGAATACCCAAGCTAACTGCCTGATAGATATTTAACCCCATTAAGGCTGCTGCAAATGGCAACACTGGGGTTTCCACCAGCTTTCCAGCCCATGGACATCACTGAAGTCATTACATTCAATCCCAAAAATTGTGTTTTTTTCCCTTTCCTAGTTTTTAACTCTATCCACATAGATTACACTTTAACACAATCACTAGACAATTCTGGATAGAATCCTGTACCAGCACTGTTACCCCAGACCTCTTTATCTCTTTTCATCAATCTTGAAAGTGTTATAACCAGGAATGTTAAGTTCAGAGTACTAGCCAAACCAAAGCCATGACTGCATTATAATTATTATCTTACAACCATAAGTCCATTAGATATAGGAGCAGAATTAGGCCATTTGATCATGGCTAATATGTTTCTCAACCCCATTCTCCTGCCTTTTCCACGTAACTCTTGATCCACTTACTAATCAAGAACCTACCTCTGTCTAAATATACTCAATGACTTGGTCTCCATAGTATTCTGCAGCAATGAGCTCCACAGATTCACCACCTTCTGGCTAAAAATATTCCTCCTCATCCCAGCTCAAAGGTGTTATCTCTTCATTCTGAGACTGTGCCCGTAAGTCCTTGTATCTCTACCTTCTCCATATCTACAC